AACAAAAGGATTTATACAAAAAAAATAATATAAGATTTTTTTTTTTTTGTTTTTTTGCTGTACGACATAGATCATTCAATTTTGGGAATCTGGTATAATTTGGCCCGGCATGGCCAGGTGGTTAAGGCACTCGACTCGCAATCTGAGGGTCGCGGGTTCGAATCCCCGTCACACCAAACATGCTCGCCCTTTCAGCCGTGGGAGCGTTATAACGTGACGGTCAATCCCACTATTCGTTGGTAAAAGAGTAGCTCAAGAGTTTGCGGTGGGTTGTGATGACTAGCTGCCTTCCCTCTAGTCTTACACTGCTAAATTAGGGACGGCTAGCGCAGATAGCCCTCGTGTAGCTTTGCGCGAAATTCAAAAACAAACTAACTGGTATAATTTATCTCCAATTAGATGGTGGAATCCATAGATATATTTAGATATAAAAACAATCAACAGTAGTTTTTTAATATCAATGTCGTCAAAAAGTATTTTTTAATTTGGTGAACAAAAGTCAAATTCAAACACAATGGAAACAGATTATATATATAATATGTTGAATACTTATTTCAAGGTTCTCGGCCTTTTGAATATAATTCATATATACAAGTGCATCATCGTAAGGTTTTCCAGCACTTGGTAACATTTCTTAATATCTTATCTTCGCTTCTTTCTCAATTTTATTTCTACGAGGAATTTTCACAACAGTTATCCTAATTGGTGTAAATTTCGTTTTCTTATCCTGTTGTTGTTAATTTGTTTTTTTTACAATAAATTGTACCAATCCGAACGTCGGAAATACAGTAGATCCTTCCTAAATGTTGTTTCTGGTCTCCTAATTTTCCACGGATAACAAAAAAAAAATTGGTAAGTTCAGATGTAAATCATTGTCTCCTGAAGAAGTTAAAAGTTGGGAATAAAAACAGCTGCCAACTACGAGGGGGGTATAAAATTTAACTTGTCACAAGTTATCCACATGGGATGGTGTTTACAGAATAAGCTTGATCCGTACCAAGGAACATATTTACAGAATAAGCTTGATCCATACAAAGGAACATGTTTTCAGAATAAGCTTGATCCGTACCAAGGAACATATTTACAGAATAAGTTTGATCCGTACCAAGGAACATATTTACAGAATAAGTTTGATCCGTACCAAGGAACGTGTTTACAGAATAAGCTTGATCCGTACCAAGGAATATGTTTACAGAATAAGCTTGATCCGTACCAAGGAACATGTTTACAGAATAAGCTTGATCCGTACGAAGGAACATGTTTACAGAATAAGCTTGCTCCGTACCAAGGAATATGTTTACAGGAGAAGCTTGATCCGTACCAAGGAACGTGTTTACAGGAGAAGCTTGATCCGTACCAAGGAACATGTTTACAGGAGAAGCTTGATCCGTACCAAGAAATATGTTTACAGAATAAGCTTGATCCGTACCAAAGAATATATTTACAGAATAAGCTTGATCCGTACCAAGGAATATATTTACAGAATAAGCTTGATCCGTACCAAGGAATGTGTTTACAGAATAAACTTGATCCGTACCAAGGAACATGTTTACAGAATAAACTTGATCCGTACCAAGGAGTATGTTTACAGAATAAACTTGATCCGTACCAAGGAATATGTTTACAGAATAAGCTTGATCCATACAAAGGAATATATTTACAGAATATGTTTGATCCGTACCAAGGAATATGTTTACAGAATAAGCTTGATCCGTACTAAGGAATGTGTTTTATGAACTGTCGATTTTATTTACACATATGTTACATTTAAAGTGTGTTTGACATTCATATGCATATTGTAAGTTCACCCAAAATCTTTTGTTTTTTTTAATAATGCTCCTCATTATTACTTACGAAGTTACATCGCTAGCATCCGGGATTCGATTCCACGCGGTTGACACAGCAGATAGACCAGTGTGGCTTTGCTCTTAAATGAACAAAAATGTCACTCCACTCCGGTGGCTCAGCGGGAGGACCCTTGGACTTATAGTGCTTAAAATTAGGTTTCGATACTCATGGTTGGTACAGCACAGACAGCCCATGGTGTAGCTGTGTGCTAAACAAAAAAAAACACAAAATCATAGGTGAAAGTGTTTAGTTAGCTGTATTCTTAAAGCTTTATATTGCCCTCTCGCCAAATATGTCTTAGTGTTGCTGTAGTTGTATGTTAAAAAGGTTGTACAAAAAGAAAGAAAATTAATAAAAGTCTGAAACTTTTAATATAGCGGTTCGCGACCGTTTTGACATTGGTGTTTTGTAAGTAGCGTGATGCCACCGAAAATTAACAGCTTTTGAGAAGGGTATGTAACAGCACCTTCCGACAAAAATATTCATTCACTCTTATCATAAAGATGTATTCAGTTCGGGAATACACATTTGTACTTAATGACTTTAGAAATCTGCGTAATATGGATCATCATGGGGATTCAGTACCATCCAGAAAGAGGAGACCTGCAACAAGTCGTACTGTAACCATGGTAAACAGAGTGCAATGTCTTGTAATAGGTAAAAATCCGCAGATACAAAGGTCAGTGACAAAAGCCGTTCCTGTGCCCTAGGCAACATAATCAAAAAGTATTGCCTTCTGGAAAAGCGACACAAGTGACGTGTATACAGGTTGTTTCCACGTCATATCCGTTCAACTGTCACATACCTCGAGCAGCTGGAGAATGAAAAGGCACACACGAAAATCTTATTACCAGGGAATAATTATAAATTTAACTAAATTTGATATCGCAAATCAATACTTAAACCTTTTGATATCAGCTTTCCGAGTTTGCACTTTCGATATAATTATAGCTAGTTGATTTTGTAATTTTCCTTCCGAATGAAAAATCGGAGTTAAGGCTTTAGAAAATCCATGTGTATGATTTCAGTGTAAAAGAGTTAAGCAGCAGATTACAATAAAATTCGGAATTGTAATTATTTTGGAATTAAATTACCAATTAATCTTATACTGTTAGTGACATTTCACAACGTTTTGTATGGAAGGTCGTCTAGGAACATGACAAAGTCCTTGTCATTACGTCTCAGACTTAACTCTAGCAGACTCGACCTTCTAACAATTCTTCTCAGACTTGACTCTGTCAGCCTTAACGTCTTTCCAATTCTTCTCAGACTTGGCTCTGTCAACCTTAACGTTTTTCCAATTCTTCTCAGACTTGGCTCTGTCAACCTTAACGTTCTTCCAATTCTTCTCAGACTTGGCTCTAGCAGCCTTAACGTTTTTCCAATTCTTCTCAGACTTGGCTCTAGCAGCCTTAAAGTTTTTCCAATTCTTCTCAGACTTGGCTCTATAGTAGCCTTAACGATCTGCCAATTCTTCTCAGACTTGGCTCTATAGTAGCCTTAACGATCTTCCAATTCTTCTCAGACTTGGCTCTATAGTAGCCTTAACGATCTTCCAATTCTTCTCAGACTTGGCTCTGTCAACCTTAACGTTTTTCCAATTCTTGATTTTCAGATAAAGTTCTGTACGTCAGTTATTAAATTGAAAGGGAATAAATGTAACTTTAAATCTTCAATTTTATTAATCGTCACATTTGAAACGTGCGGCATTTACAACATCTTTACCGATAGAAACAATGCTAAAAGAACCAATGTGAAAAAAAGCGTGTTATCACACAAATTACCAAATGCATTACAAATAATACACCTTATTCCACAGCAGTGACATAGAATTATACAATGTTAACTATAAGTCTCTTTTGGATGAACAGTTCGTATATCACTTGTTACAATAATAATTTAAAGGCCTGTGAAACTAAATACAATAACGTGTCCAGCAATAAAACAAAAACCGGTGTTGCACTGACCTAAGAAAAACAGCTTACAGCAAATTTTATAACAACAAAACTGTAAACACAAAAACATGAGAAAAACAACACTGGTATACAAGATTTTTTTTTTTTAATTTCAGTAGCTCCTTATGTTGTAATAATCAAGAAGTGTGTTTCAAGTTCACTCCATAACTCTTAAATTATTTGGCAGTGATGTAATAACCAGCTAATCATTTCACACTAAGTGTCATGCTCATCTGTCAGATATGTTTTTTTTCACCATCACTCTGGTAGGTGGGTCCACAACAACCAATGAAGACCACTCTGAAAACAAGGTATGTTTATAACATCCAATCAAATATTACTGTACAGTGTAGACAAGGAACTAACCTCAATTTTGTTGGTTTTTCACACAATCCTTAGACTTCACACTTTAAGTACATTATGTCTAGAACTAGCCATAATATGTTTTTTTTTTTTTTTGGATTATAGAAAATCCACGTGTTGATACTCATAAAATATATTTTGGTTTACACAACAACGAATGTCACAAACACTTCTATAATAACTCGCATTTTTTAAATAATGATGTCACACAAGCTACCCCGTTTAAATACGTTTTACAATTGGCCACATCTGATACTATGGTGTGAATATAATCGTGACACATTAATACAGTTATGTTGTCCTTTAATGTGGAATGTATGCTTTAAAATAATGGGTATCATAAAGTAACAAGCTCTGGTTTATATTATATCAATAATCTTCAATAACTCTCTCGTGTTTAAATTCATTTTGTCTTTAACACCAAACAGAAATAACTCTTGGCAGAAAGTATGTTTCATTTTGTCTTTAACACCAAACAGAAATAACTCTTGGCAGAAAGTATGTTTCATTTTGTCTTTAACACCAAACAGAAATAACTCTTGGCAGAAAGTATGTTGAACAACTGTAAAAAAAACAGAATATACTTTCTTCTTTCACTTTTTAAACCAAGCAGCTCAAACATAAAACATGACCAAGGAAATACCCTATGTAAGGGGATACTCAGACTAAGTAAATACCCCCACATAAGGGGATACTCAGACTAAGTAAATACCCCCACATAAGGGGATACTCAGACTAAGTAAATACCCCCACATAAGGGGATACTCAGACTAAGTAAATACCCCCACATAAGGGGATACTCAGACTAAGTAAATACCCCCACGTAAGGGGATACTCAGACTAAGTAAATACCCCCACGTAAGGGGATACTCAGACTAAGGATATACTCAGACTAAGAAAATACCCCCACGTAAGGAGATACTCAGACTAAGGAACTACCCAACATAAG